CCTCTCTCTCTCTGTCCACTTGCTCTCTCTCCCTCTCTCTCCCCCCAAAAAACTATGACATCATGTTTTTACTATAATTAGCTGTGCATAGACATAACTAACTCAGCTATATAACCTAGCTACAGCTGTAAGGTACCTCACTTTTTGAGTCTGCAAAAGTAACAAGGTATGTACCTGTTTGTGTGTAGATGTATGTGGAGGCACAAATGTGTCCCTTACACAAATGTTAAGTAATTAATGAGCATTAGCTAGTAGTTTACATTACTTTTAGAGTCTGCAAGGTATGTATATACCTGTTTGTGTGTAGATCATGTATGAAGAGACAAGATTAAACTCTAAGTACCCAAAGGACATACTGGACTCCAAAGGGTGGAGTGGCCTCGCCTCATTTGGGAGTGTACTGTGTGTCGGGAGTATAAAGAGGCCGAAACACGCAGTGCATGATGAACAATGAGGAACTCTCCTGATGACCAGTTTGGATGTCTTTTGGCAGGGTTATGTATACTCAGATTCAGGAAAGAACTTAATAAAAGGAAAAAAGACGTTGGCTTTGCATTTCTTAATGCTCACACGAGTGCGGACAAAGACCGCCCAACTGAACACTCCTCCTTTAAATCTCTCTCTCACTCACACACACTCACTCTCTCTCTCTCTCTCTCTCTCTCTCACACACACACTCACTCCCTCTCTCTCTCTCTCTCACACACACTCTCTCTCTTTCACACACCTCTCACTCACTACTCTCCCTCCTCTCTCTTCCCTCACACAACCACCTCTCTCTCACACCGACACACCACTCACTCCCTCTCTCCCCTCTCTCTCACTCACACACACTCACTCTCTCTCTCTCTCACTCACACACACTCACTCTCCTCTCTCTCTCTCTCTCTCTCACACACCACTCACTCACTCACTCCCTTTCCTCCCAGTCTCTGTCAATAGAGCACAACTCCATAACCAAGGTTCCAATAGGAGTATTGTCAAAGGCAGTGGAGTTGACGTCTCTCAATCTGAGAGACAACCAACTCTCCACCTTACCTCTCGGTGAGGAGCAACCACCTCATGTTATGTATATACTTTCCCCCTAACATGCCATGGCCGATAAGAAAAGATACAATCTCAAATGGAGGAACCTTTACTCCCCTACTGCATGTAAAAGTCAACAAGGCCACAAGGCAAAGGCGAAGCAAAACTTTCAGTATGTACACCCAGGACAGGATAAGGAGCCCTGGGCCATTCACTCCAACCTAAAAAGGACACCTCACTGCTTCTTCTGTCCCGAATTATATAGACTCCACTGTCAGTATATGTGTGGACAATACACTTAACTTTCACCTCTCTTCACCTCCTGTCTTGCCCTCCCTCCCCTCCCTCTCTCTCTCCTGCAAAGATTTCGGGACCTGGACGATGTTAACAGAGCTAGATCTTGGGACCAACCAACTCTCGTCTATCCCAGAAGACATCCAGGAGCTAACTCGACTCGAGACACTCGTCCTCTCCAACAACACTATAAAAGTAGGTCACGTGATGGTCACATGACAACCGCGTAATGTCACATGACTCCCACAGACTCTGCCGAAGGGGATATCTTCTCTGAGGAGTCTGCGGGTGTTGGATCTGGAGGGGAACAGGTTGGAGTACCTTGCCACTGAGATCAGTACGTCCTTCCATTTGTGAAGTACATATTATGAGAAACACATGAGCTTGTTCACCTTACACTGCATGTGCCATTATTACAACCTTTTGCGAATTTCGTGTAAGCTTATATCTCTCGTGCTTACATCAAATTTGTGAAAGTTTATGACAGTTAGTAACCCATGACCATATACAGTCAGTATAATGCATAGGAGCACTCCTAATTTTGTGCACACATTCACTATGGCACTGTCTGGTTACAGCGTGCCATACCCACAAGCAAACTGGGTTGGGAACGTTTTTAACCAAATGTTGCTTTTCGCCAAGGTTTTAGTCATTACCTCATTTGCTAACTCCAACTTCACCCCTCTCCCCCTCTCTCCCTTCTCCACTCTCCCATCTCTCCTCTCTCCCCTCTCTCCTCTCCCATCTCTCCCCTCCCCCATCTTCCCTCTCTCCCCTCCCCCATCTCCTCCCTCCCAGGCTACCTAAGAGAGCTCACCAAACTGAACGTCCAGTCCAATCGCATCAATAGTCTCCCCAGGGGCCTCGGGTGAGTCTGTTACCATGGAAACATTCACCACGGTGATGTTACATAACCACCCCATGTTCAGGTTGTTACTGAACCTCCAACACCTCAGTGCAGGCGAGAACAATCTACTGGAAATACCAGCTGAGATAGGTCTGCCCCCCCCTCTTTCCCTTCTTCCTCCCTCCCTACCTCATTTTTAATTTGCTATATAGCAAAGTCAGCCTAACTATTCGTCTGGATGCCTGATGACGGGCACTCCTGTACCGTAATATTCTACGTCATTCTACATACCCACATAAATTGAACATCATTCTAAGCTAAATACACGTGAAAAATTGAACTGCTCACACTCACTCGCCAACAATGTGTTCCTTCGTTCTAGTATACATTTCCCCACCCCACCCCAGGTACTCTGGAGAACCTGGAGGAGCTGTACATCAACGACAACCCCAACCTGCAGACCCTGCCCTATGAACTGGCCCTCTGCAAGAAGCTTGCCCTCATGAGTGTGGAGGGCTGTCCGCTCACAAGACTCCCTCCACACGTCGTCGACGGGGGACCCTCCTCAATTATCCAGGTACTTTATACAATACTGCATATAGGTTTGTTGCAGTATGGCTACTAGACACTGCCTGGTGCATTCTATTGGCTGTTGCACGTCAAATATTATACTAAAAAAGACGCTCCAAAATAAAGGGCATCTCTATAAGGGACAATTCGTTCTGCCTTGTGTAGATTAGTGCATCTCTATATAGGAATTCTTCCAAAAAAGGGATTTCCTCTGAATAAACAATGGCCTGAAGTTGTAATTACTTTTAGGGTGTTTAGCCCAGTTGTTGCTTTGAAAATTAACCCTCTCCTCTCTTCTCTCTTCTTTCTCCCCTCTTACAGCATCTCAAGTACCAGGGTCCTTATCGTGGCCTACACTGACTTGAACTTTGCACCCTGTTGCCATGCCTACTACTGTGTGCATCACAACAACACGAAATGATATTATTTTGTTATTGAGTTTGTAACTATCTATTCTGCACCCTTTTGTTTAGTTAGTTTTTCACCCTCAAATAGTACTTTTTGTACCGCTGGTGTGCGATTCAATCATGTAACATGTCCATTTGTTAGATACATACATGATTACGATTGATTTCTTGTTTACTGCGCATGCCTATGGATAGGATGCTGTGTATTGTATATAACTCCTGCTACATTATTATTGTTGACACTTTACCTAAACACCAGTGGGGTCCACACTCCACTCTTTGAACTTATTCTTTGGGCCAACACCTATGCCAATAATAGTTCAGTGTAACGTAAAGAGAATGGTTCTAACCATTAAGCGTAATGATGACATAATAATTTTTCAAAGAGCTTCATGATTAGTTCATTTTGAAGGGCTGGGAAATGCACTGTCCAAGTTGGTTTCTGTGCCTCGTATATAGGGATCCTGTTAGCTATAATATGTTAGCTATATGCATGTCAAGAGTGCCGGTCTGGTGGCTTTCTTTTCCTCTTCAGTGATTGAGGCTTGTATAGTCCTGTGTAGTAGAGTGATTATGCATTGCTGCTCTTGACACTAACTGACGGCTAAAACGCGACTCATGAATTGCTATTTAATAAAGCAAACACCAATGACAATTTGACTACAGTGTATAAAGTGACAGTGTCTCTCATTAACAAACTCCTGTGCACTGGTGGGCACAGAGGACACTGAGGACTCAGCCGACACTGAGGACACAGCCGACACAGAGGACTCGGCAGACACAGCAGACACAAGGGACACAGCAGACACAGAGGACTCGGCAGACACAAGGGACACAGCAGACACAGAGGGCTCAGCAGACACAAGGGACACAGCCAACACAGAGGACTCGGCAGACACAAGGGACACAGCAGACACAGCAGACACTGAGGACTCAGCAGACACAGAGGACACAGCAGACACAGAGGACTCAGCAGACACAGAGGAATCAGCCGACACAGAGGACTCAGCAGACACAGCAGACACAAGGGACTCAGCAGACACAGCAGACACAAGGGACTCAGCAGACACAGAGGACTCAGCAGACAGCAATAAATAAAAAAAAAGAACACAGATGATAGTGGATGACTGAAGCTAGAGGCTCAAGTAGAAGACGGCTGGCGTTTACTACACCACCAGTAAGCCAGCCTACTGCTACAGCATGCAGTTTATGCAATCAAGTGCACACAAATCTATCATCTCCTATGTCGGGAATTGGCCCTAACACTGGGCATTGAGGTGAACATTACATCATCATTACATCACTGTCTGTCCACATGTGTTGGGTGTGGTCTGTCCAGGAGGGGACGCCGGAGATGGCAAAGAAGATGCAGGACCTGGCGCTGGCAGAGGGAGCTCTCCCCCGGCACCTCCACACCTCCCTCTTCACCGCTTCCAGCGACAACAGACTCCTCACTCACAGGTCAGAGGTCAACTTCTGACCACACCCCTCTATCGACATGTGTAAGGCTACAGCAGGCTCACATTGAAGCCCTGCCTTGTACAGGTTAACCAGCTTGTATGTAGACACCACCAACACACACAATGTACATAAGGAAGCACTGTCCAAAAGCTTCCTCTGTGGGGATGTGCAGTGAGGATTACTTGGTTTGCAAGTGTGTGTGTGTGTGTCGGTTTTTTGCAATGTGCAGCAGCTGGAGTGGCCAGCCCAGCAATTAGCAGTGTGGTAATTGGGGAGCGAAGCGAGCCTACTTAATAAGTTGTCTGTTGGGGTTTTCTACGTATACATCTTGCCTATGTTTTTACTCCACGCATGGGCACAGAAGTACAGCTGGCATTCGATATTGTAATTGTATACATGTCCTGGGTATGTGTTCAGTCTGATACTAAGAGTTATGACTTGTGTGAAATAGCTCCAGAACTCGAGATAAGGTGCAGAGATTCCGCATCACCAGGTACGACACAGGATACTACATATTTGGAGGGAGACCGTTCAGTAGGTGAGCAGCCGTCTCTCTCAAGACCTCATGTATGCAGTACATTCAGGTATAATGGCTGACTTTTCTTCCTTTTTCACAGTATGGATGATGTCTACTACTGTAGCTAGCCCGTGTCAGACTCTCTGCGAGCTATATACTTCGCCGAGGGTTTGCACTTTAGTGCTTTTCATTACCAAAGTGGCAATTGGTTGTGTGAAGTGGGTGGCTTCTTTCCTGGACGAGAGGCCTGGCAAGAACACAGGGAGCCCTGTTTAGGAGGAGGCTAAGCATTTTTGGCATCCTTGGTAAATGTAGCACTTGTTACTGTATGACACCTAGTTGTCTGAACGCGAGGGTTTTCTATGTGATGGACACTGCACATACCACAATCTGTGCAAAAAATTATACTTCTCGCTCGCCAAAAATGTGTTCACCCACTCGATGTCCGGCTCATTGGCAAAGCTCACTATTATGAACCACATGATGTGGAATGCCCGTTTCTTAAGACGCACCTGGACCGTAGAGAGAGAATCACAGGAGGTTTTATAGACAGTAGAAGATACGGGTGGCCAGTATCCACGCAGTGGCCTGTTCAAATCAAAAGCCAGATTTGTATCGTTGGAAGAATACACGTCAATGCCCGGAGCACCAATCTGCCATTCAGGACAGCGGACAAAGTCCAACTCAACAAACATTGGCGACACCGGTGTGTCAAACAAGAAAGTTAGCAGCACATGATCGTACACAATAACACCACGAATTTGTCCATTCTTCCTTTCTTATTTATTTATATGTAACGGGTACTTCACATACCGTAATGTTACATGATTCTAAATACGCACTAATAATTGAGTTACACCAGCCAGTATGCTCACAGTTGCAATCACTTATCAGTGTGTTTGACACACCGCTGTAAACACTGGGTAATGTGATCGGCAGTCCTACAATCAGACCACTTGTTTCAGTATTCATGTCTCACTGGAATCTCCAAATAAGGTCTGGTATGCAATAGGGCTGCAGATCTAAGGCTGTAAAAATTAGTAGAGTGACTGAAAGTCAAGGGCTGTTTCCTGTCAGCCTCAGTTTCACCCATTTCTTGGAGTTAGCCCACCACCCTTGCTTGCTTCTTTCTTGAGCAGCTTGCTTGCCTCAGTCTTCACTAGACCCTCTGCTGCACTACTGACAGAGCCATGGCTGCTAAACCCTCCACTGCTGCCGAGAAAGCTCTCCAGAAGATCCAGGACCAGGTCACCTGTGGGATATGTCTGGAGCCCTACAAACAGCCGAGGCTGCTCAAGTGTTTCCACGTGTATTGCGAGGAGTGCCTGCAACGTCTGGTACGTGGGGGACGAGAGGGACAGAGTCTCCCATGTCCACAATGTCGCCAGGACACTCCACTGCCAGTGGGCGGAGTCCCGGGGCTCCAAGGAGCCTTCTACATCCACTACCTCTTTGACATCCAAGACGCCCTCAAGAAAGTTAGCTCCAGCGAACAAACAATGTGCAACAAGTGCAAGAAGTTCAAAGCTGTTTGTTTTTGTCGCACTTGCGGGTTTGCATGCCAGCGCTGCAAGGAAATCCATCAGGATTGGGATGAATTAAAAACCCACGAATTTATCGACCTAGACATCTTGACTGGAGATGTCACCACCCTCGTTCCTCCTCTCAAGAAGGCTCTGTTTTGTGCCACTCATCCGTCAAAGGAGGCAGACCTCTACTGCGAGACGTGCGACGAGTTGATATGTCGAGACTGCATCGTTCGTGTTCATCGTGACCACCAGTACGATCTGGTGCCCGAGTCGTTTGCCAAGCAAGAGAAAGTGATCGTGGACACTATCAAGCCAGTGGAAGAACAAATTGCTACGTTAGAAAGAGCCGTTGAGTCGGTGGACACGCAATGTGCTGCAGTCGTAGAACAGAAGACGGCTGTGGCGGCAGAGATCCGGACTGCCATGGCACACCTGCGACAAGCTCTAGAGGCGAGGGAGACAGAGTTGGTGGGTCAAGCTGAGCAGACGGCACAGCAGAAACTGAAGACCTTGGCAGCACAGCGAGACGGGTTTGAACTGCAACTGGGCCAGCTGAGGAGCTGCCAGGACTTTGTGGAGGAGAGCCGACGTACTTGCAGCCAAGGGGAGATTCTGAGGACGAAGAGTCCTCTCGTGGAAACAAGTCAACGATCCTGACAGGTAGCTTCAGCCAGAGGACATTGGCTCTTGCCGAGCAAGCCGATGTATGGGTTTGCTCACAGTCTGCCTGAACTTGTGACATCTTGCGAGCAGTTTGGTAAGGTGTACTGTCGTCCAGTGTGCCCTGAGAAGTGTCGAGCCTCAGGTGAAGGCATCAAGGTAGCCACGAGAGGGCAAACAGTAGCTCTCTCTGTAGAGGCTTTAGATAGGAGGGGAGACTGAAAGTGATTCAAACCTGTAGACGGTCTTGAGTGGGAGATAGTTGCTTGCATGGAGCAGTCGGAGGTCGAGTAGGCGGCACTGTGAAAGAGAAGAAAATCAGAACATCTACGACATCAGCTACCAGCCTCAGGTACTGGAGAACATCAACTACACATTCTCATAGAAGAGCATCCGACCTTGAACAGTAGTTCACGTCAAAGTTCTACCCAACTTCACCGCCCCAACCAACATCATTGAAGACGTCAATGCACCATTTGGTATAGCAGTTAGGGAGGGAGGTGCGGTTGTGGTAGTGGAACGGAGTAGTCACTGCATATCAATCATCAGTGGAAATGGAGAGAAGAAATCATTTGGTACTGGTGGCTCAGGTCCTGGTCAGTTCGACTAGTCCTGAAGGTTGTAGCATGCAGAAAGCAAGGGGAAATTCTTGTGTCAGAGTGTGACAACAGATAGTATCATGCAGTTTTCATCCACTGGCAAACACCTCAGAACAGTCGGTACCCGGGGCAGTGGACCTCTTCAGTTCCAGTATCCAGAAGGCATTACAGTTCATCCTCACACTGGCAAGGTGTATGTTGCTGACAAGGGCAACCACAGAATTCAGGTTCTAAACTCTGATCTCACATACTCCAGTAGTTTTGGTAGGAAGGGCGCTAACAATGGAGAGTTCAACTGGCCTTATGATGTAGCTACAGACAGAGAAGGCAATGTGTATGTAGCTGATCAGTACAACCACAGAATTCAGGGCGCCTTTACAGTCGATGGAGTCTACTTGAGGCAGTTTGGGAAGAAGGGAGAAGGAGAGGGAGAACTAAACGAACCAGTCAGTATTGCTATTGACTCTGGCAATATAGTGTATGTTGGTGAAGTGGGGAACGATCGTATATCAATATTCTCTACTGATGGAGAG